AGTTATTATTGCGAGCTCATTAATCCGCACTGATATCATACCTAACAATGATTGTAGTGATGGCAGGGAGTGCTGCACGATTAAGAGTGTATCCGCGTGGAGACCACACAAAATTCCCAATAAGTGCCAGGATGTGAAAGGGTGGGGGGGGGAGGATGTGTGATCAAACTTATGGTATGACACGCCCCAGGGGCAAGAAGTTACATTCTCACGTGGTCGCAATCTAATCTCGGTATAAAGGACTGTACTGGGAAATGGTCATTTTATGGATAAAATTTTGGTTTCCACGCATATATTTTATTACCATTGTTAAACACAGATTGAATTCTATGGTACAATAGCAACCTTCTGTTTTGACCCTGTTTGATAAAGCGGGTGGTCGACGTCCACTCCAGCACTGCTAGTTTGAAACAGAAATCGGTACATACCAAAGTTTTGTGGACTTGTTTTAGGGTAACATATTCATATTGTCCAAATAGTACAGAAAAAATGACATTAAGTGTCTTCCATTAGACAGTATTATTATTACGGTAAAAGGTTTAAGATGAACATGGTAAATCGGCATTTGTCTTCTAAAATCATTGCCTTATTTCTAATCAGATGATTATTTTTTTCATTTCAACTGATTACATACATAGATTATATAGACATAAATTTATATATGTATAGATAATACCTACATTAACCAGGGTTGCGCATTTTAGCCAGTCAATACACAATAAACACTAAACATACGGCGTCGAAAATTCTAATAAATTCAATATGGACGAGAAACATGTTCTTTCACGCTTAGCAATTTATACCTGTCTTAAGTCGTATCGCCTATTGAAACACGACCTCAATAGATTCCCCGGGCATATTATATATTTATTATAATTTTCTTTCGGGTTATTTGTTGTAACACCATGATTGAATTTTAATGACCACCAAATTCTTATAAATGAAAGGATTGACATCTTATTTTCTTTAATTGTTCTCTCGTGTGGTATGCTAGCATTTACACACGAATATTTATGCTGTTACGTCAATATAGGCATTCAAAGCGCTGAATAACATTTAAAAAATACATTTCAGCTTGACTAACGTCCCAATGAATGAACATGTCTGTATATTGGAACTGCATTTGATATTGTCCTTTGCAACATCTAATACATTATAAGCATCTATGGTTAAGTTGACATTATTGAAATGGCTTGTACACACAACTTATTTTTCTCAAAAAGCAGTTACCAAATCGTCACCTGAAAATATATTATCGAATGTTTAAAGGTAAGCAGTAATAATTGGTACACGTTTATAGAATTTATATCGGAGATTTGGGTCAAAGAATTGTCGTTCCAATAGCGAGTTTCAGCGACGGCCAAATTTATCTATGTCAGTATCGATGTTTGTTCCCAATGAATCCAAGGGTAAAAATTTTCTTGAAATCAGCACTAACAAACACTAGGATTATTTTTAAAGATGTCATCCCGGTTAAGTCATGAAAATTCGACGCTATATTGTACCCAGGAGAGATTTGATTGGACGATTAGAATGGACACGCTCCGCCAAAGATCAAGTTTTCAGTCTCAATACAGCAATGGCCAGAGAGGAATTTCTCGGCTCATTGCAATGTTTCCTGTCGAGCTTTAAATTTATAGCGAAGGGCGTTCTCTTTAATGATATGTCACCAATAAATTTATAGATTTATGGTAGATACCAAGTTTGGATATTTATTTATTTTTTAAATGGGTCCAAAATTTTAACCCTTTCCTAAAAATGTAACAAGTTCAAGAAAAGTGAAATAAAAAGGGCGTGGGTATCAGGTTTGATCCTACTGCGATAGATGCAAGTATCTAACATGAAATGACTTTTCAACATATCTAGTTCTTATTTTGAGTTTCGCTTTTGTACTAGTGTGCATACAGAACGGTGGACACTTTTATTTTATTTTATTTATTTTTTTAAAAAAAAAAACAATATTTATTTACAGAAGCTTGATTAGACAACATGGCGTGACCACCTCTACAGAAAATATATATTGAAGAAATAAAGTATTTAAAAATATTGATATAGTCAAATTATTAGATGGCTGTATCTATGGCCGTGATATGTTCATACAAAAATGTATACTTTTTCCGCGAAAGGCTGACATTCAGAAACTTCCTTGATCGTGGCAAGTGGGTGCAGCTTTCTAGTTAGCGCCCCATTCGATTCGTAGAAAACTTAGTTTCAATATGAATACAATTCCGTAAAAGGGCATAACTCATCATGTGACTCAAATATGCGCCCAGCCCTCGAATGATACTTAAAGCAATTGTTTTCAAGTGTTACAACAAATAACCCGAAAGAAAATTATAATAAATATATAATATGCCCGGGGAATCTATTGAGGTCGTGTTTCAATAGGCGATACGACTTAAGACAGGTATAGATTGCTAAGCGTGAAAGAACATGTTTCTCGTCCATATTGAATTTATTAGAATTTGGGTACCTAGTGGCGTGGGTCGGATTAGAACCAGATTCTGTCAGTCCAGTTTTGGGGAAAAAATAGCGAATTAAAATCTATGTCACCCTCCCGTACCTTCTCGCCGTGGGGCACCGAATTTCCTCGTTCCGCTTAAGGCTCTCGTCACCGCCAGGATATTCGGGTACCCTTCCGTTTGAATCCAGTTCAAGATGACGTTGGTTATTAAAAAAATAAACGAAAAGTTTATGTGATGAAAAAAATCCATTTTATATTTTGTCGCCTGATGGTCTTCCACTCGTTGCTTCCTTAAAATGTCCTGTCAAAATAGTGTATATCGGATTATTATTACACCAGTAAATCTAAAACGTCGTACATGTATTTGGTATGTCATAATTGGGTTAAATCTCAGTTTCTGTATTTTAGAAAAATGACATGCAGTTACCCCCAGATATACGCCAAAATGAGGCTAGGGACCATGTATCTTTTAAAAAAATGAGCCTGGGGGTAGCTATCCGACGACCAACACCCTCGTGGAATTTCTTGTTCCAGGGCCAGTAGGATCATGTCCTGGGCCCTGTTCATCTTCCTCTTGTCGTGAGGGTGGGAAATTGCCTAGAGCCTCTCTTATTTTAAATTTCTAAATCCGAACGCCGCCATTCTACAATGTTGTAGGTGACCACTTCGACGCAAGACTGCGTTAAAATTTAAGCTTAATGGGACAATACCACAGATACCAAATATATAATAAATACAAATATTCACTTATATACACTACCACAACACGACAAATACCAAATATATAATAAATACAAATATTCACTTATATACACTTCCACAATGGTACAAATAGCTGATATGGATATGATAAAAATGTATAATAGTCAGAAATTTTATTTTCTAATTACATTATTAATGAATGTATAACAAAGGCTTATTTTGAGCACTTTTCAACAAGGTGTATATTATTTTAAGTATGTTGCATTCATTTGTTTACGCCGATTGAAACTACATGCGCAGCACTTCAAACCCATCCGAAGAAATTCTACTTCCGAGCATGAAAGAACATAATAGTGTGCATCTTTTTTCTGTACTATTTGGACAATATGAATATGTTACCCTAAAACAAGTTCACAAAACTTTGGTATGTACCGATTTCTGTTTCAAACTAGCAGTGCTGGAGTGGACGTCGACCACCTGCTTTATCAAACAGGGTCAAAAAAGAAGGTTGCTATTGTACCATAGAATTCAATCTGTGTTTAACAATGGTAATAAAATATATGCGTGGAAACCAAAATTTTATCCATAAAATGACCATTTCCCAGTACAGTCCTTTATACCGAGATTAGATTGCGACCACGTGAGAATGTAACTTCTTGCCCCTGGGGCGTGTCATACCATAAGTTTGATCACACATCCTCCCCCCCCCACCCTTTCACATCTTGGCACTTATTGGGAATTTTGTGTGGTCTCCACGCGGATACACTCTTAATCGTGCAGCACTCCCTGCCATCACTACAATCATTGTTAGGTATGATATCAGTGCGGATTAATGAGCTCGCAATAATAACTTGTTTCTTTTTGCAAAATAAATTCTAGAAATTAAATGAAATGGGGTTTAACGTCCTACTGTTCAGCTCCGAACTGTGCTAATGAAGAGGGAAATGTTGCCCGGGCAGCGGCACTATCGAATTCCAACTGCCAAGGGATCTTTTACGTCCATTCCAATGTATACACGGGACATCGGTTTTTCGTCTCATCCGAAGGACTAGACAGCTGTCCTTGTCAGGCCCTCCGTTCTGCACCACTAAATTCTAGAAAACATTGACATTGATATCGTCAACAAACTATTTCACTTTACTAAGAGAAACGTGGTATGTTACATGACTATCTATAGTCTATCTGATTTAAAATGAAATCTGATTTGAACACGATTCGTTTTTAATCGTGGGACAGTTTCTTCCATCGCCAAGAAGTGAGCGTATTTGAGGCTTCCGTCTACATATAATTTAACACACTGATCAGCAGTGAATTTTCGCTAGGCCGCTACAATCATTGATAAGGAGGACATCGATGCGATTTAATGAGCCAGAAATATTAACTTTTTTCCTGCGACAAATTAAATTCTAAAACATTGTTTTTATGTATTTAAAAAATAAATAAAGGCGTTTGACGTATTTGTAGGTAAAAATTATTTCCTATTTAGTGTAAATGGGTGTTAAAATGACTGAAAGGCAACATTCCGCTCGAAGCAGTAACGTCTTATGTAAACAATGCACGCGCCATTCAGCCAATGATTGACACCGCGTGCTGTGACGGCACGTGTTAAGACAGTCATCTTTGACATAGATATTACTACTAGAATCGTAATTCTCTGTGAAACAGTTTGTAATTTAACTGTAATATAGACCTTCACTTGATTTAGTTTTTTTTCCTTATAATATATTAAATTGCATCAGTGGGCGTATTTTTCTGATAACCGCTCCTTTCGATTCATAGAAAAGCTAGTTTCAATATAAATACAATGCCATAAAAGGGCATAACTCCTCATGTGACTCCAATCTGCGCACAACCCTCGAATGGTACTTAAAGCACCGTTTCGAAGTAACCTGCGCGCTTTTATTTTTCACTCGAAGGGAAGCATTAGTCGTCATTATAAGCAGTCTTTATAAAATGTTTCATCAGATTGTACTACTTTTGGCTATTGGAGGTAAGTGCATACCAACAGTTTGACATGTAGAACTCACGTTATATAATTAATTGTGACTTGTTTTGTACATATCGTGTTTAAGTAGAAAAATTAACTCGGATTTTATCATCTAAACTCGAACTCCGGAATAAACATAGATTCAATAATATTTTAAAAGCTATAATAATAGAAGGACTACGTAAATCACAATAAAAGACATATAAGACGTTTAAAGAACGGTAAAAAGAATTATCACCATAAATAATATATTGGTTCACAAAATACAATTCTAAAGTAAATCATGGCTACTTTTAGAATAATTGTTATGCTTTTCTAAGCGTTGTTGTTGACCTGAAATATATTAGATTTTTATCCTCTAACATCGATTACAAAATGTTGTTGAACTAGCAATTTATTGATAAATTGTATGAATTAAAGGCTAATAACACTTTTCAACCACTTTTATTGTTTTTTTAAATCTTAAAAATTGAAAATATGTACATAATTCAAAAGCAGTGTTTTTTTAGATTTTGTTTGTTTGGAGCAGTTTAAGTTTGTTGGGAAAACAGTGTAAATAATCAAATAATATGTCTAATCATGTTTTGATAAGTGTGTGATTGTCTGGGCTGGTCTTTAGTCTAATGCTATGTTGCCACTGCCGTGCAATCGGTTACGATAGGATTGTTCCTATTGTGTTCACGATCTGGTACGTGTAGATCCGTTCGCATACGTGTAGATACAATCAAGACGACTACTACGTGTAGATACAATCAAGACGACTACTACGTGTAGATACAATCAAGACGACTACTACGTGTAGATACAATCAAGACGACTACTACGTGTAGATACAATCAAGACGACTACTACGTGTAGATACAATCAAGACGACTACTACGTGTAGATACAATCAAGACGACTACTACGTGTAGATACAATCAAGACGACTACTACGTGTAGATACAATCAAGACGACTACTACGACAGACCACAATATATGATAAGACCTGATAGGATAATCACGATTACTCCACGATTAAAACCACGATTTCAATCGTAGCGCGAGTCGTGATAGTGTGAACTTAGCATAAACGATGGATACCTCGGTAATACACACTTCACGAAGCAAACCAAAACATCAAATTTAATTAAACATTTATTGCAAAAAAGAGATGTAGTAATGTAAGGAATATTTAGAATTAATATTTTTTTTATCACAAATTACATAGAAAAATAAACCCGTATTGTTGAAATTAATTTTCATTTTCAATTGCAAATCACCAGGTATAAAGTAAAGAAACTAATAATTATTTTCATGTATGCGGCAATATACATCAAATAATAACTAAAATCAATACAGTGATATACAAATATTATATGATATAAAGATTATAGAATATTAAAGGAATTACGGAAGCTCAAATACGAACTATTTTTGTTTATTTCTTTTCCTATTTTTATTTTCAATTTTTAATTTTGAAAAAAGTTATTTCGAATTTCTATTTTTAATTTTCAATTTTGTACAATAATTTTCAATTTTGTACATTAATTTTCAATTTTGTACATTAATTTTCAATTTTGTACAATAATTTTCAATTTTGTACAATAATTTTCAATTTTGTACAATAATTTTCAATTTTGTACAATAATTTTCAATTTTGTACAATAATTTTCAATTTTGTAATTTTTAATTTTTATTTTTTATTTTTAATTTTGTAAAATAATTTCTAATTTTGTAAAATAATTTCTAATTTTGTAAAATAATTTCTAATTTTGTAAAATAATTTCTAATTTTGTAAAATAATTTCTAATTTTGTAAAATAATTTCTAATTATGTAAAATAATTTCTAATTTTGTAAATTTGTTTTCAGAACTATCAGAACGCCCCGGTTCACTTACATCTTGTCCAACCTCGTGGGTTTTCTCCAGGTCCTCCGGTTTCCTCCCACTGCAAAAGACCCCTACGCGCAAGCTAATTATTGAAATAAAATTAAACCCTAATTTAAGTTAGTGCCGAAATGACCTAGTTTGTGTCAAGTGGACGTTAAACCCCATTTCTCTCTCTCTCTCTCTCGCTCGCTCTCTCACTTACTGGTAGTAGTTGCGATGGGACAAAAAATTGAGGTCTCGTGTACACATTGGAGTGCACGTCAAAGATCTCTTCGCAGTTGGAATTCGATATAAGTTTAGGCCGTAGCGTCACTGTCGGGATAAAATTTCCTTCATAGTACACTGTACGGCGTATGTCCGTCTTCATTAGTCTAGTCGAAGCAGAACAGTAGGACGTTAAACCACACTTCATTTCCCTGTCGCCATGGGACCCACGGTGGCTATGCGAGTAAGACACTGTCGGCCGAGAATGTTCATAGGTATTTTCAGGCGTGGTTTCCCCCTGTAAATAACAGACGCTTGTATATTATTCGGCCTACCTCGTCTATTTTTATACTTTTATTTGACCTCGGCTGCACAACTTCCAAACGCGCTGCCTTTAAAGAAATTGCGACTAACACGCCTTTTTAAGAACTGTTTTTGTTAAGCGACACGTGTTTATAATCAGTAAACCTACGACCGTACCACAATCTCAGGCGTATAGCGGAGAGGCATATCAAGCTACGCCGTACAGGCGAGCAACATGACACGATGATGATCAAGGAATCAGTCGAGGTTTGCCGAATGGTCCTCGAGAAAAACAAAATTATGAATTATTTTACAAAATGGAAATTAAAATACAAAATTAAAAATTAATTTACAAAATTAAAAATTAATTTACAAAATTAAAAATTAATTTACAAAATCCAAAATTAAAAATTAATTTACAAAATCCAAAATTAAAAATTATTCTACAAAATCCAAAATTAAAAATAGAAATTAGAAATTATTTTTCAAAATAAAAAATTAAAAATAGAAATAGGAAATCGAAAAACAAAAAGTAGTTCGTATTTGAGCTTCCGTAAGGAATACCAATTATGAAAAATAATCTCACCTTCTTGGAAATTGATTTTTTAAGGCATAACTGAAAGAAAAAAAAAATCATGTTGATACTGGATTTTCATTGTATGCCGCAAAATATGTTAAAGATCAAATGAAACTAAAATTAAAACCATGAAAAACAATACAATAATATATGAATGGTATATTGTTACATTTAACCATGTATTATGCAAGAGCTAATTCTGCCTATTGTAGGTCTTTCTCGAGGCCTTAAATGTTATCTAAATATTAATCAGACATTAATTAACTTATCAACACCATAATCAACTCTCGATGCCAGCCTGTGATATTTAGTGGATTTGAATACGTTTTGTGATGTATGAAATAACCGTAAAAATGGATATTATCGTTGCAATGGAAGTAATGACGATCGAGGCTAGTCTAAAACTGAATCGCTAATATCTAGGTTGAGCGTGAAGCAATTTGAAATTTTCAGCATATTCTCTTTTCATTATCTATTATAGTGAGAACCACCATCTCTTTATCTACTCTTACCCAATGCTCCTTTAAATAAATCATTTTTTTATTGCACATTTTACACATTATCCACAGAATCCGCAATGGTTAATTCATGAAAAAAATTTATAAAAATTTATTAATAAGTGTTATTAATTCTATTTGTTTGTTGTTCCCAATGCGGTTTGTTGAATACGTTGGTGGAGTGGGTTATGGTGGCAATTTATTAAAACAAAATATACAGCCTAAAATTTATAACATTCCTGTACATGATGGGGAGGGGGGTGTCTAGTGAAACCATATGGCCTATCATTGAGTAAATCGGCTTGGTTTCGATTGCCCGCTTGTCCGTGACAAGGCGTAGGGTCGCCTATCTAACCTCGTGGGTTTTCTCTGCTTTCTGCACTGCTAAAAACCCATATGCGCAAGCGATTTATTGAAACAGAACTGAACCATATGTTAGTCCCGAAATGATATACTTTGTGTCGAGTGGACGTTAAATTCTCTCTCGCTCTTAAATTAAAATCTAACTCACAACCTGCTGTACGTGTTTTGACACGCACGGGTTGAAGGGTTTCACAGCTTACTGTGAATTTAGCTGTAACTATCGAGTGGAGACATAATAGATAAAGGCCATTCTTTATATCTCTTCCTAGAAAAACGTTCGAGTGGAAATGTTATAATGTGAAATTAGATAATGCATGACGTTATTTGCATTGGTTATGGACGAGCGATTAGTGTATTGAAGTAACACTTGACATATTATATTACCTTCACCTGTAGGAACAGTAGTCACTAGTATTAGTTAAACGGACTTGGTCCTCTATATTTGTGTCGAAATATTGCGTGCTACTTCGATTATTAGGGATGGGATAAAAAAGATATGGAAGAGGTGGGTGATTTCAGTTTTGATTTTGGTTTTAAACTTTCGACTTGAACCTCTATAATTGTGTCGAAATATTGTGTGTTACTTTGATTAGTGATGGGATAAGAAAGATATGGAAAAGGGAGCTGAATTCAGTTTTGATTTTGACTTTAAACTTTCGATATTTGATATTTGTCTACTTCATAAAATACACCAACACGTGTGTTAAACGAATCAAAGCGGTCTAGGTATTTAAGGAATATTTATTAGATAATAAATGACAAAAATATTTGAGAAAATTAACCCTTCCTTCATTATTGATTTCAAATTTCCTTATATCAGGTTTATTTTGATGTACTTTTTATTTTTGTCCAAGTACGAGCGTACAACAACGTAAAGCTCAATGTAATGCCAACGTCGTTATCTTTTTCGATTGGGTTGGAATATCAATTTGTGTCAGCTGAATTGTTTGTATACTTTTCATAACGCTTTCATCTTGAAAATTCAAATTTTGGCTTTATATAATTTATGCATCTCATGGTTATAAACGTTTTCATCAATTTAATCACATAGCTAGATAAACTCGTCCAACAAACTCGTCATAGCCACCGATATAGGATCATCATTCTGGATGAGTAGGTAAATAAAGTGTAATAATTTTAATATATTTACTAATGCTGATTTATTTAGTTGATATAAAACTGACACG